ACCTCAGTCCTGATTTATTTTTTGTCCTTTTGAATTAATAAGTATTGTTTTTGTAGTTACACTGGAGCTGTTCAAGTATACTGTTTCTCACCAAAACTTTAATTTTATTAATCTATATATTTAGAGCTTTGTGGACTCATGGCTTGCAATTTTATCCAATTGGCTATAATCCATCATTATCACTGTTTTGATGCTCATGTTGTCCCTTATTTGGTCAGTAGGGATGTCTTCAAGTGCCACATCATTCTTTAAGAATTTTCTTGCTTTATGGTAAAACAAGAGGCTTAATGTTCATTTTGTATATTCCCTGCCCTACCTCTGTGATCAGCCGTAATGCCAGAGATTCTTGGTATTTATTTAGCTCAGGTCAAGTGCCCCCGAGTTCAATCCTTGGTTACCGCCCCCCACACACAATGATCAATGAGTTTCTGCTGCTCCTAAACCCTACCATTTCCAGGGAAAGGGAATACCCATGTACATGTGTATGTGTGTCTGTGTATGGGCATGCACATATTTACATCTCTCATCTAGATGTATGTATAAAACTTTCTACACATTGAAAATTCTACAGTTCATATCAAAACCTCCAATTCCAAACAAACATCACTTCTCCCACATGTGAAATCTGACTCTTATAAACTTACTATTTTTGCTGACTTTAATAACACCACTGCATATACCCTGTCATGGTTGGATGGCTACTTCATCCCACTCAGGCATCTATAACCTCTACCTTAATGCCCCCATGTGGAAGCTCTCTTCCTTCTTACCATCATACCAGTAGGCCTGGAAGACAGAATAAGTCAAAGAGAAAAATTCGTAAGCCTTAAATCTACTGAAATTACTTGCCAAGTTTCAGACTTGCTTGGAACTTATGATCCTTTGACCCTTTTCTTCTTTTTAATTCCCCCTTTTTTGAATGGAAATGTCTATCAGATATGCCTGTCCTACCACTGCATTTTGGAAGCAGATGACTTGTTATCTAGTTTTACAGGTTCACAGCTTCAGAGCTGAATTTTCTTTGGAACAAAAGATACATCAAGTCTCACCCATTCCTGATTTAGATGATACTTAGATAATACTTTATTATTATCTAAGACTTAAAAGTTGATATTAGAAACCGGGTGCAGTGGCACACACCTGTAATCCCAGTGGCTCAGAAGGTTGAGGCAGGAGAACCTCGAGTTCAACGTTCAGCAAAAGCAAGGTGCTAAGCAACTCAGTGAGACATTGTCTCTAAATAAAATATAAAATAGGGCTGGAGATGGGGCTCAGTGGTCGAGTGCCCCTGAATTCAATCCTTGGTACCCCTCCCCCCAAAAATTGATACCAGAATGCCTGAAGATTTTAGGCAGGGCTGGGATTGTAGTTCAGTGGTAGAGTACTTGCCTAGCACATATGAGGCACTGGGCTTGATCCTCAGCACCACATAAAAAATAAATAAATAAAATAAAGGTATTGTGTCCAAAAAAAGACTTTAGGGGATGTTGGAATGAAAGTAAATGCATTTTGCATAGTGATTTAGGGGACCAGAGGGCAAAGTGGGCTGAATTGTGTCCCCCTGAAAGTCCTAATCCCTAATACCATTGAATATAGCTATATTTGGAGATAAGGTTTTTAAAGAAGTAATGTGAGGTCATTAGTGTGAGTTGTAATCCAATAAGACTGTTGTCCTTATAAAAAGAGAAAATTGGGATGTAGACAAGAACATAGGGAAGACCACAAAAGACAAAAGAAGAAGATGCCCAAATACAAGTCATGGAGAGAGGAGTCAGAAAAAACAAACTCTACTAATGCCTTCATCTCAGATATCTAGTCTTCAGAATTGTGAAAAAATGAATTTCTATTTTATTAAGCTGCCCAGTGTGGTACTTTTTATGGCAGCCCTGGTAAACTAACACACTACATCTGAATCTCAAAGGTATTCTCCAGAAGGAAACTTCAATAGTTCATGTGTGGTTAACAATGACATACAGTGGTTGTATCTGCACATTACAATTGTTAGGAAACTAAGTTTCTGTCAGGAATTACTGGGGAATCCTCACTTTATCATTCACTAGTAGCAAATTTTTAACAGTTGGTAGATTTCCATAGCCACAAAAGAAGTGAAGGGAACTTTAGAAGGCTGAGGCAAGAGGATGGCAATTTTGAAGCCAGTCTCAGCCATTTCGTGAGTACCTAAGCAACTTAGTAAGACTCTGTCTCAAAATAAAAAATAAAAAGGACTAGGAATGTTGTTCAGTGGTTAAGCACTCCTGGGTTCAATCCCTGGTACCAAAAATTAAAAAGAAAGAAAAGAAAGTTTATCACCCACTAGGTATAACAGATGTATGAATGGTTGATAGTGATGGTGACATATAAAGAAAAGTGCACAATGTCAACAAAATATTAACACATAGAATCCAACATTTAAAAAGGATTACATATCATGACCAAGTAGCATTTCTACTATGGAAGCAAAGGTGGTTCATCATTCAAAAGTCAATCAATTAAATTCACCACATTAACAAAGTAAAGGAGGAATATCATATAGTCCCATCAATAGATGCAGAGAAAGAATTTGACAAATTTCCACATATCTTCAGAAAAATTCTCATTAATATAAGGGGACTTCCTTCAATATGACAAATAGATCAATGAAATGTTAAAGGCAATCAATGAAAAATATACAACTAACATCATACTTAAAGGTCAAAGGCAATTTTTCCTCTAAAATAAAGAAAAAGGCACAGATACATCCTCACCACTTCTATTAAACACAGTACTAATGAAAGTCCCAGCTGGTATAACAAAGCATGAAAAAGAACCAGCAAAAGACATATATTGGAAAAGAATTTGTTCCCTTTGCAGATGACCAGGATTGTATGCACAGATGATTCTAAGGGATCTACAAAAAACTACTAACACTAATAAGTGAAATCACCAAGGGCATAAGATAAACAGTTAATATACAAAAATCAATTCTATTTCTTGATGCTAGCAAAAGACAATTGAAAATATATTTTAAATGCTATTTGAAATACCAAGGAAAACACTATAAAATTTGTAGAAACAAATTAACAAACCTGTACACTTTAGCAAGTCCAGTGCACCGAAAACAAAATGTTGCTAAAAAATCTAAATAGTGGAAAGATCTGAAATATAATAGATTGAAAACTCAACATGGCTAAGGCATCAATTATCCCCACAATTACTCTATATACTTCATTTATTCCAATAAAAATCTCAGTATTTTTTGACAAGTTGATTCTGAAATTTATATGAATGCAAAGAACCTAATATAGTCAAAGAAGCATGAAAAAATAAAGTTGGACAACTTCCACTATTTCAAGTCTTTCTAATCAACTAGAGCATATTATGATATTAGCATAAGGACTGAACAGTAGAACAAAAATAAAATCCAAGAATAGACCCTTACTAATACAAGGCCATTTAGTAGAGAAAAGTTATTTCAATAAATGTTGCAGGAATGAATGGATGAGAACTGAGGTATGATTCATCTTGTGGCAAATTACTCTCTATGAACCTGTGAAACCAGAAAACAAATTGTATGCCTCCAAAATACAATGGTGTGGGGCTGGGGATGTGGCTCAAGCGGTAGCGCGCTCGCCTGGCATACGTGCGGCCCGAGTTGGATCCTCAGCACCACATACAAACAAAGATGTTGTGTCTGCCGAAAACTAAAAAATAAATATTAAAATTCTCTCTCTCTCTCTCTTAAAAAAAAATACAATGGTGTGAAACACATAGGATAAGACATTACTATTCAGAAATGGGGTAACAGGCAAGTAAAAAGCAAATCTGAAATTTAGTATGGAAAAACTGCTCAAGAATAATCCCCTTGGACTTGATATTCTATCTTCTGGGCCCATCAGACAGTGGTCCTAGACTCTCAGTCCTGAATAGCTGTAACAATCAGGAGTAGTTTTGCCTTCCTTTCACCATCCACAAAAATTAATTCAAATATATCAAAGCTAAAATTCTAAAGTTTCTAGGGGGAAAAAACACTTAAGGTAGATACTAATTTTTCCTTAGGTTGCTAAACAATAACCATGAAATTAAAAAGAATAATAAACTCTACTTCATCCAAATTAACATTTTCTACTAAACATAGGAACAATTCTGAAAATGAGAAAGCAAGCTAAGATGGGGAAAAATATTCCCCATGTAAATATTAAACCATGAAAAACTAATTAATGGTTATTTAAACTCAAAGTATGTGTCTTGTGGAGTGGGAGTTTGCTGCAAAGGGGCATCAGGAACTTTCCAAGGTGATATAAAATATTCCATACCTTGACTGAAGTGTTAGTTGAGCAAGTGTGAACCTTGTCAAAGTTCATGGATCTATATATTTAAGTTTTACATGTTTCATTGTAAATAAAATATACATCAATAAAAAATAAGCATGGGGGAACACATTAAGAAGCTCTGGAAATGTATAGTCAATTTTTAGTCGGTGAGTGGATTATCAGCAAGCATAATGTAAAACTAATTTCTATTTTGTTATAAAATAAATATAATTCTTTTCTGACCACTTTACCTTCTTAATTATACAAGTCCTGGCCAATATTAAGATTTACTTGGCATTCACTAAAAATACACTAATTTGGACAACACAAAAAGTAAGCATGAAAATATGCAAAATAGTAACAAAAAAATGTCTTAGAAATAAAATCCAATGAAATATAATCCACAGTAAGATTACTTGTTGAGCCTACAGAAAAGAACAATAGGTGGTTAGGGTACTTGGATTTTAATAATTCTGGCTCTATTAGCCTTCCAGCCCATCTCTACCTCAACCAGTATTCAATAACTTGTAATTATAATTATTTTAGATGATTATAACTAAAAATAGTAGATATTATTATTTAATAATTCTAAACAAAAATCAGTAACGATGCATTCATTCCGGGTTTTTTGTTTGTTTGTTTGTTGTTGTTTTCCATGATTCAGTGAAAGCGGGCTAAGTGTCCCTCACTGGGCTGAGGCTCTGAGGTTACCATAGTTGAGAAGACATGGTCCCCATGGTCAAGAGAAGCGTGGTTTCAACTCCTCCAGAAGGTTGGCCACTCACAGACATCAGGTTGGTCCCACGTCAGCCCAGGCATTTTCGGTAGGCGGCAGCCTCTGACCTGTGCTTCTTTCTTTCTACAAGTTAGCACCAAACAGAAAGCAACTCCCGCTCCAGCCGGGAGGCGGCGGCCCGCAGTTGACGCGATTCGGGATGCTTTGGACTCAGCCGAGGGGGCGCTCTCGTCCAGTTCTCAGGCCGCGTTTCTCCAAACGGAACCATCAGGTTTGGCCACTGATTTCTGGGGGGTTTCTTAAAGGGCGCGCACCCGAACCTTCCCGGCTTCCGTACGGGTTGCTGTTGCAGGGCTCGGGATGGAAGGAAGCGACGAGTGAGAGCGTTGGCTTCCTCCGGGAGACTCCGCCCCTGTGCTACTTCTTCCCGGTGCTCAGGCGAGTTGTGCACTTTGCCGGGCGCCCGGGAAAGACCGGGGGACGATGGTACAGATGGAGACACAACTGCAGAGCATTTTTGAGGAGGTGGTGGTGAGTGCATCTACCGGCAGCCTGGGATTGTGGCTCAGGAGCGGGTGACAGAGGCAGCCTCAGGAACTCGGCCTGGGCAACCTCCTCTCCAGCCTCCCCTTTGTTTTGACACCAAGTGTGATTGCAGGGGATTAGTGATTCTCAAATTGCTGTCAGATGGAAGTGTCCTTTTGAATTCACAACCCCTTTGGGGACAGATCTAAGTGGTATTGTTAGTTTCAGCGCGTTGCTGATTTAGGTGACTTGCTCTTTGCCGCGTTGTAAATATTTCGAGGGGGAGCCCTCTCCTCTTTTATTCGGGTAGTTTACTTGTTTTATTTTGCTTTTTACAGAAAACGGAAGTCATAGAAGAGGCTTTCCCCGGGTATGTGCATGGAAGATTTTTGTGGTTTTAATGGGATTATGTCGTTGTAAGATTTTACTTAGATTGGCGTGGAGGGTTATAAGATCCACTATTCTAGTTATTTAATTATCTTTTTAAAACTAGCGGCAAATAATTGATTTTTGCTCTTATAGGATGTTTATGGATACCCCGGAAGATGAAAAAACAAAACTAATTAGCTGTTTGGGGGCCTTCAGACAGTTTTGGGGTGGTCTTTCTCAGGTGAGCACTGCATTTTTAATACATTCAGCCAGTAATTGTCGGCCCCTTTCATTTTTACATTTACTTTGATATTGCTGTTAAGATCTTTTAGTAAAGGAATAAATAGAACTGCCATCCACTTTTATTCTGGTTTCCATTTTGTTTTTGAGTTGTATACTTAAGGGGGTAACAGAATTCACACTGATGACAGCACTGTGGGAGATGTTTTTAAAACTCTCTTGTTAGACTATCTAAAACTATTTTCATGCTATTTTGGCTTAGTTAGTACACTTGAAAATTTTCCGGTAATAGATAAAAATTTCCTTTATTTACTCCCCAGTAAAAAAAATGCACAACAATGATACAAAGACACTACAGTAAAGATTCAAAGATGCTACAGTAAGGATACAAAGTTTCTATAATAAACATATGAAGACATTATAGTAAAATTGGGGAAAGGAGCAGTAAACTTAGTAACAAAGAATAACCACCAGAATATCTTCTCATGGTTTACCATAGGTGGTGGGAAATGAGATCTGTATGCTTGTGAGCCACAGGTGGTAAGATTTGCCACTCAGATGTGGATCATATATATAAATATAAATACATTTATAAATACATATATAAATGTAAATACATTTATATTTAAAATTTTTATTTTAACTATTTTCAAGTAGATATCTTTATAGCGTTCAAAATACAAATGATAAAAAAGGATGGATCCAGTGACCAATCTGTCTCCTGTCTTTCTTAGCTAAGTCACCTGTTCTTTTTCCAATCTGTAGCCAGTATTCTATTTTTTTTTCTTCTAAAAGTAAGTATTTTTGTGGCATTTATACACAATGGAGTATTACGCAGCACTAAAAAATGACAAAATCATGGAATTTGCAGGGAAATGGATGGCATTAGAGCAGATTATGCTAAGTGAAGCTAGCCAATCCTTAAAAAACAAATGCCAAATGTCTTCTTTGATTTAAGGAGAGCAACTAAGAACTGAGCAGGGAGGAAGAGCATGAGGAAAAGATTAACATTAAACAGAAACGAGTGGTGGGAGGGAAAGGGAGAGAGAAGGGAAATTGCATGGAAACGGAAGGAAACCCTCAATGTTATACAAAATCACATATAAGAAGTTGTGAGGGGAAGGGGGGGAAACAAGGGAGAGAACTGAACAACAACAGATGAGGTAGAGAGGGAAGATGGGAGGGGAGGGGAGGGGGGATAGTAGGGGATAGGAAAGGCAGCAGAATACAACAGTCACAAATATGGCATTATGTAAAAATGTGAATGTGTAACTGATGTGATTCTGCAATTTGTATTTGGGGTAAAAATGGGAGTTCATAACTCACTTGAATCAAATATATGAAAGATGATATGTCATGAGCTTTGTAATATTTTGAACAACCAATAAAAAAAAAAGTAAGTATTTTTAATAGAATCTCTCTTTTTTTATTCAGTGCCTGAGATAGAACCCAGGGCCTCACACATGCCATGTATGTGCTCTATTACTGAACTATACATCCCCATCTCAGAATCATTTTTCTGGAATGGTCACATATTACTAGTATTGCTCATTAATTAGCACCTTTTTTTCTCTTAATAATTTCTGGGGGTAATTTCATATCAGTCCATTAAGACTGATTCTTTATTTTATGTGGTCCTTAGGATCGAACCCAGGCCTCATGCATGCGAGGCAAGCTCTTTATCACTGAGCTATAACTATACCCAGCCCCAATATATATGTAATTTTTATAGAATTGTTTAAATTGCCATAATAGTTAGTTCTCCTTACATCCATGTATTAGAGTGTCTATTTCTTATAGCCTTATAATAGAGATTTAGTAACTTTTTGGTCTTTGTTCATCAGACACATGAGAAATTTTATCTCAGTATAGTTTTACTTTGCATTTCTCTCAGTAGTATTGAGCATCTCTCAAACATTTGAGTATTTTTAAATTCATTGAAAATTTTATGATGTAAGGTAGGGCTCTTGTTTTCAAGAAGATTATATTCTAATGGGGGAACCAGAAATACAATTGGTATTTTAAAATCATGGTTATATGTGCGATAACGGAAATGTTTGTAACAACAGAGAAGCAGGACTTACAATCTTCTTGAATAGAGATTTTTTTTTGAGATATCCTAGAAGACAAACTTTGATATGAGCCCAACTTTTTGATAAGTTTTGCAAGTCAGAACTTTGATATGTCATTGGACTTTTAGTGGGCTCTTATTTGGGGTTCTAGGAATGAGACTCACATTGAATTTTCATGAGGCTAATGTATTAATCCATAATAGATTTTTTTTTTCTTCCAGTGACAGAAAATTTTATATCTAGTGGTAAGGGCACTGCTAACAGTACCTTATGTAGTTTGTTTTAACCATGAATGTTAATAAAAGCTTAACTACTTTTGGAGGTCCCATACAGTAAACGTAGAAATTTAACCTATGTAATTGCAAGATGTTACACTTAATTTAACAAATAATATGTCTGAATTTTTTCAACTTGCTTTTTTTATCTTGCTTTTTCATCTGTAAGTGGATGAAAATATTTTTCATGATAGATGAAAATACTTTCACAATGAAGTATTTCATTCATAGTCTTGATATACTCCCTGGTGTAGTATTACCTATTATTAGTTATAAAGTGTAATTTTAGACCTAAAATAATTTTCTAATTTTCCAGGAGTCTCATGAACAATGTATCCAGTGGATTGTTAAATTTATTCATGGCCAGCATAGTCCTAAAAGAATTTCTTTTCTTTATGACTGCTTAGCAATGGCAGTTGAAACTGGTCTTCTTCCACCCAGGTATGTTAAATGGTGGGTGTGAGCAACCTAAAATATTTTCTTCTTTATACATTTTGGAAATTGGTTAAGGTGTTCTTGTACAAAGATAAGGGAATAAAGAAGGAAATGAGGATGCTCGAGTGACTGGGATTAATAAGCAGCTTTTTTTCATAGTCTCTTACATTCTTATACTTTAATGTGGCTAAGGCTGGAGTTGTGACAAATGCTTCCTCACAGATTCTTCTATGTTCATCTGAAATTTCCTCTGGAATTCTCAACCAGAACCTATACATGCCCTCACCTTGTTACCTGAACTTTCTCACAGCTTGTAGGGTCTAAGAGAAAGCTTGCGAAACAGGTTTAGGAAAATAAATTATCCCATATCCTTGTGGCCATAGTTTTAGGCCTAACCAGATCTAAGGAGAGAAAATGTAGACCCTTCCTCTACCTCTCCAAGGGAGAATTAGTGTTATATTTCAGAAGAGCATGTGAGGTTGAAAATCTTGTTGCACACCATCTTGGACAAATACAGTCTGCCACTAGCTGGTAGATGATAAACACTTAACCAAAAGTTTTGATAATTTTCTTTCTCATAAAAATATGGTGAATAGTACTTTGTTCTACTTGGTGTTTTTTTTAATATATAAGCAAAAATAAATGTAAAATGTTATATATGATCTAAAAGTATACTTAAGTAATAATGCACTTTCATGAAATATATTTGATATGACAAATATAGTACCTATAGTACACAAATCATTTTGTGAACTTTCAAAATTACATATTGTATCTGGAATGAGTATTTCTTTTTTTTTTTTTTTTTATAGGATGGTTTGTGAATCTCTCATAAACTCTGACACTCTTGAATGGGAAAGAACACAGCTTTGGGCCTTAACATTTAAACTGGTTCGAAAAATCATTGGGGGAGTGGATTACAAGGTATTTTGTTTTTAATTATAAGAAGTTGTTTACAGACAAAATTAATTTTTCAGTATATACATCACACACACACACACAATTTTTAAGTGAGAGAAACAAAGCAAGAACATTTACATAATGTGCCTATTTTAAGGATATAAGATTACTCTGTTTTTCCCAACTTTTCTCCATTTTCTTCTAAAATTCTTAAGATACAGGTAGCTAATATGTTTTTTTACAATGCAGTAGGGAAGTCAGAAAGCAGAATTTGTGTTCCTTCATGCCTCTAGTCTTCTAATGTTGTAATATAAAGAGCACAGAATAGGGATGTGTGGAACTGAGAATGGACGTGGGCATTAATTGATAAAAGAAACA